AGAAATTTTGTTTTTTTCTTAATGTTTGTGTCTCCCTGTTATGTTATTGAATATGTTTTAAAATATACATATTATATTTTGTTTAAAATGCATAAAACTTTAAACAAAAGAATTTTGAAAAAAATATTTGAATTTTTCTGTTGTGCTGATTCAAGGTCTAGGTATTAAATCATTCATAGTAAACAATGTTACAGAAGTGCAGAAATGCTAAGTAATTGACACTCAAGACTTGTATGCTATCACATCCCCTGCTTCTGTTATTACTATATCAGTCATATAAAAGCCATATGTTAACTATACCAATTAAACAAAAAGCAAATGAAAAAATAAGTAATAATATAAAAACAAACAAACCTGTATGATCATTGAGCTTCAAAATTGTGAGCTTCATGTTGGGCAAAAGTATTTACAATGCCCTTTCTTGTTCACAGATGTGTCCACTCTGCACTGTTACTAGGTGACTCTAAAACAAATCAGCCAATCGCAATGCATTGCATAACTGAGCAATATACAACGATCAGCCACAACATTAAAACCACTGACAGGTGAAGTGGATACCATTGATTGTATCATTACCATGGCACATGTCATGGGTAGAATATATCAGGCAGCAAGTGAACATTCACTTCTCGAAGTTTAATGTGTTGGAAGCAGTAAAACTAGACAAGTGAACAGATCTGAGTGACGTTGACAAAAGCCAAATAGTGATGTCTAGACGACTGTATCTGAGCTATCAGAGAACCTTAAAAACAGCAACAGCAAGTGCCAGTATAAAGTGGTTAGTATCTACCAGAAGTGGTTCAAGGAAGGACAACAGGTAAGCCAGCGTCAGAGTCATGGACGCCCAAGGCTCATTGATGCAGTGAAGACTAGCCAGTCTGGTCCAATCACACATCATCACTGTAGCTCAAATTGCTTAAAAATCAAATGCAGGTCATGATAGAAAGGTGTGAGAACACAGGTTTGCTGCGTATGGAGCCGTGTAGCCACAAACTGGACAGAGTGCCCATGATGACCCCTGTTCACAATGAAAGCATCTTCAATGGGGATATGAGTGTCAGTACTGGACAATGTAGCAATGGAAGAAGGTTGCCAAGTCTGATGAATCACATATTCTTTTAGATCAGGTATACGGTGTGCGCGTCTTTCACCAGGAGAAGAGATGGAAGCAGGATGCACTGTGGGAAGAAAGCAGGCCAGCTTTGCTCTGTTGTGCTCTGAGCAATGTTTAATGGAAAGCCTCACTTTGACACATACAATCTACCTATAGATTGTTGCAGACCACATATATCGCCTCATGGCAATGGTGTTCAATAATGGCAGGGGCCTTTTTCCATAGGATTATGCACCCTGCTAGTCTGCAAAAGTTGCTCAAGAATGGTTTGAGGAACATGACAAAGAATTCAAGGTGTTGCCTTGGCATCTACATTTTCCAGATCTCAATCCGACTGAGCATATGTGGGATGTTCTGGAACAACAAATAAGATCCATGGAGGCCCACCTCACAACTTGCATGACTTAAAGAACCAGCTGGTTACCACCAGACACGTTGAGATTTTTTTTTTAGTCTATGCCTTGATGCGTCAGAGCTGTTCTGGCAGCAAGAGGGAGACCTACATGATATTAGGTAGGTGGTTTTAATGTTGTGGCACAGATAAGCCAATTTCCCCACCATTTGGTTCACAAATAAACAAAAAAGAGAAAAACTTATTTGTTTTTCTTTTTTCCCCCTCTTTATAGCTCACTTCTCCCTTTATCTGTGAATCAAATCAAAATGTAGTAGCTATTCCATAGCCATGAATCATCTTTTTTTCCATAAATCATCTTTTTATTTTTGGTGCCACGAATCAAACAAAAATGCTTGCCAACTGCACGTGTTGTTTTTTGTTTCAGTTATTTGTCTATTGGCACTTTGGAATTTCAAAATTGGGATGAACCACAAATTGGCATAGATATGAAAGAATTACAATTCAGCTAAAATGAATGCACATGTTTACATATGTCTCTGTTGGATGTTCTTTGTTTATAACCATTACAATTGGGTTTCCTTCTTTACATAATCACCTCGTTGGGGATCCCTGCTAATTTTTTCACTGAGGGATTCTTCTAATTATTAACGGAATACTTTAAGCCTTAAAACAACTTTAACCTAATTAAACATTTTTGGTGTATAGATCGTGCTCATATACTGCTCATTTCCCTGCCATTTAGAAGTTAAATCACTTTTGCTTCTGTTTACACTGCCCAACATGGAAACTGGTTTCATTTTTAATAAGAACGTATAGTACAGTATGTTCATTTTATAAGTTCCTTTCATTTGCTCTGATAATTGAACTTTAGCACACACCTGAGTAAATTAAGTTATGCATTCTCTTGACCTTAGTACCTAGAGCTTTTAAGTTATGTCAGGAAGGGGTGGTTGAAGAACTCTACAGGTCAACAGGTCCAGGGTGTTGGAGGAAACTCAAGATGGCAACAGGATTTATTTCTGAAGCTTTGGTGGAACTTGTCTCTAGTTAGAAACGAAGTTTGCCTTTTAAAAGAGATGGGCTTCTGGTTACTAGCAAAGACAAGGATGTTTCTAAACCTTAATATGACATCAGTGTAAAACTACAGGGATTCCTATGATCCATCATTGGTCTGATAAATTCAAACAAAAGACAGAAATATCCAACAAAAAAACAGGAAGGGACCAGTGGATGGTCTGGTATCATATGAGAAAAAACTTTAAAATTGTACTAGTGCTCAATTAGCCTGTGGAAAATAACATCAAAAACTATTATATGCCAAAGAATAAAAAATAAATGTGCCAATAAATTAAACACTATTACTTATAGAGAAAAAACTCTCCCTGAAAAAGTGTAATAAAGACAAAAGATGAAATCACATGAAAAACTATTACAACCACCTAATAATTACCAAATTGCACTATAGAAAATTGCTGTGAGTATATAAATCTCACAGAACACATGAAGCAGAAAAGGTCAACAGACCTACCATGTATCAATGTATGTAAAGTGATTAATTATAACACATATAAATCAAAATGTAGCGAGGCTTTGTGAAGTTGAAAAATAAGGTAATAATGATGCAAGCTGCGAATATATAGATGAATGAAGGTATCCTTTGCTGCAAATGTCCAATAAATGCCATAATAAATAAAAAAAATAATCTCTGGAATTATAAAACACAATAAGGTAATTTGCAATTGGGCATCTGGAAAAGCAGAGATCCTCCACTTTCACAAATGGTCAGTATGGCTAAAACAAATTTTTAGCGGCATACAGTTTGGATATGGGCAAACATCTGAAGAATCTCATAAACACTGTCCATCTGGCCTATTTCAGAAAGTGTAACCAGAAAGTCATGACCTCAAGTTGATGCTGGCAACTGGTACTTGTCTGCACTGCTTACTCTTTAATTTGCAAGTTTATGTCTGTAATGTAGAGTGGTCAGCTTTATTTGTAAATCTCCCAGCTCCAGTGAAAATGAGCCAAGAATGTAGCATAGCTGTCATCAATGCTCCTTTCCATTTTTATGTCCATGCTTAGTAAATGCCATATATATATCTTAAAAACTTTTCAAGAAATCCCTACCTAACCTCATGTAACAAATGGACACCTTTGAACTACACTCCTACTATAAACTGAATATCATGAAAACGCAGGCATTGACATTTTGTGTGGGGGGGCAGGGAGAGACAGAGACTAAAGGAAGCGTTCCCTCTGTACTGGCGATCGGACGACTTAACATATCTAGGAATCAAGCTCACGAAAAAAATCTTCTGAACTATTCCAAGCCAGCTATACTAAACTACTTATGGAATTCGAAAACACGCTTAAATCATGGGAGGGGAAATTCCTTTCCTGGCTGGGCCAAATAGGGCTATAAAAATGTCATTATTGCAAAAGCTCTTCTACTTCTTCAGGACACTTCAGATATCCATGCCTACCACCTACGTACGATCAATCACGAACTTATTTTTTAAGTTCATTTGGCAAAACAAAAAAATCAGGGTGGCCACTAAAATCCTGCACAGGCCAGTGGTTGAAGGAGGACTGGGCATACCGAACTTATACAACTACCACAAAGCAGCGCTACTGAGCACAATGCTTACCTTATACAGCGCCCTCCCATGCCCACAATGGACTGAGATCGAGGCGTACTGGCTGAAAATAGATGCGCCTTACTCTATATTCTGGACAGACCATAAACACAGACCAGATACATCTGACTGCCTACTGACCACTCAGTTGCTTACAAACACATGGGATGAGAAAGACACTGACTAATTACCCCAAAGTATCAATGGCAACCCCACTGCAAGCCATTAGCCTAACAATCCCTACATTTAACCACAAACCATGGATAGACAGGGTTATCACACACGTTGTTCACCTATACCAGGATGGATGCCTCAAAACATTCCCACACCTAAAAGAGCAATACGACCAAATCTCCAGACTCATATTCCCATACCTCAAAGTAAAATCGCTTCTAGCTAATAACTTACTTACAAAGCCCATACAAGCATCTAAGAACACTGTTTCCGAGTTTGAAAAGGCATGCTCTCATAGTGCTATTACATGCTATTATACAGCCAAACACCACCACACAAATCATACAAAGTGGCATGGAGAAGAGATGTGGGAGGCGAGATCAGCCCAACTCAATGGAAAAGAGCATTTACGATACATAAAGGTTTAACCTCCTGTGCTCAACACTTAGAAATCCAAAGAAAAATCCTATACCACAGGTACTTGTTACCAGAGAGGATACATAAGATCTGGCAAAACTCCACCAGTGTGTGTTGGTGTCACATCATGCCATGTTCTGCGGAGATGTCTGGCTTTGGCTTCTGGTCAATGTTCCACATCTGGTAGACGTGCTCCAGTATTAGACCTTTCTGGATCCAGGTAGCAAAACTCCTATCGGACATACTTCATTCCCCAATAGCCTTCAAACCAGAAATATATCTTCTGTTCATGTTACCCGAGGGAATGCCCAAAACCCACCTAGCAATAACTTACCACACACTCACCTCAGCAAATCTCCTTATTGCACAACACTGGAAATTCAAGAAGCCACCAGATCTCACATACTTACTAAATCAAATTACACTCAATTGGACATATGAAGCCATGCACCAACACCAATTTGGACCTAAACAGGTGTTAGCGAAAGCAAAAACGCTATGGGACACGTTCACCCAAGACAGGGTACAAAATAACCAATGACAAAAAAACAAACAGGGGTAGAACACTTATTTGAGTGTAACCGCTAGCAGAACGGGTAGATTAGGAAGTAGTGGGAGCCGGGAAGACCCCCGAATATGCGGAGTGCACAGATGAAACGAGCACCTTTGTCATCCTCACCCCCAGTCATCTTCTCTTTTCCCCTTGTGCAGCTCTAGCTGTGCAATCGACCCTTCTAACCCACAATTCAACTCTCTTGTTTCTTCTTTCTTGATTCTTCTCTTTCTCTTCAAGTTAATTCACAAAAATGCATTTGGTACATGCGGCACGTAAATGTATCCGAATTTGCCCATCGTATGAGACACAGTTATGCAATGTTGAAATGTTACTGTATACATTGTGTAATGAAAGTGCTAATTAACCTGTTGTATAAAGAACTTGCCTGCATGACCCAATACAAATTGTCAAATTGAAAAAAAAACATTTCAAGAAGAAATTATTTAGCTTTAAAAAGTAAAATTGCTCTTTATATTTGTTAAAGATAACACAATAAAGACATGTTTCACAGCTTTACGCAGTGCGTTTTTCATCTTGTTGCAGTGGTCTAATATTAGTTTCCCCAACAGTTGAGATGATCTTTGCTGGCTGGAAGAGAAACATTTTTAAAGGTCTTCCACTAGTGTATATTTCATGTATAGTGATGATATTGAATGCCAACTAATAGGGATGTAGAGCTTACCTCAACAAGAGTTATGCCCATGGTTGATATAGTCAACAGCTGCATGCAAGTTGCCCAATCTCCTAGAACTGATTTAAATTTATTGCAGCACTTCAGAAACCTTTTGCCGAACTAGTCGGTGACTATGTCAGTGGAAATTTTTATAATAGTTATTAAAGTCGCACACACCAACGATTAAGGGGAGGACCAGGAGCAGGCCCGGACTGGCTATCTGGCAAACTAGACAAGATGGCCATGGACTGAGGCCATTCTTTGATCTCCACTGTTGGCCCATGCAAGCCCTACAAGGGAGCTCTGTCCCTTCATGGGCCAGATAAGAGATAAGTTTAATTGGGGGGGGGGGGAATGCGCCATGCAGTCTCCGGAAGGCATGCAGGGCAGCCTCTGTCTTTCACTCTTATGAGTTTTGATATTGTCAGAGCATTGCTGTTGCAACCCATGGCAAAACACCGGCACTCAAGAGAGGAAGAGACATGGTTACCTCTCCAGTCGGCTGGCTGTTCCCCATCTTCTTCTGGTGTTCCGTCTGACGCAGTACACTTGATGTCAGAGGTCAGAAAAGAAGTATCAAATACTCTAATACTCTGAAGGATATCATGGCACTAGAAAAAATGCAGAGATGAGCTACAAAACTGATAAAAGGAATGGAGCATTTTAGTTACAAAGAAAGGTTAAAAATTTTTAATCTCTTTAGTTTGGAAAAACATCTCAGAAGGGATATGATAACATTATACAAATATATTCGGGGCCAGTACAAATTATTAATAAACAGGGGTATACATAGGACAAAAGGTCATGCATTTGGGATGGAAGAAAGGAGATTTAATCAAAGGCAAAGGAAAGGTTTTCTTACAGTAAGAGCAATAAGGATATGGAATTCTCTGCCTGAAGAGGTGGTTTTTATCAGAGTCCATACAGATGTTTAAACTGCAATTGGATAAATACTTGCAAAAACATAACATACACAGATATAATATCTAATTGGTGGAGTAATAGCTGCTTGATCCAAGGAGACATCTGACTGCTATTTTGGTGTCAAGAAATAATTTTTTCCTAGTTTGTTGCAAAATAGGAAGCGCTTCAGACTAGGTTTTTTGTCTTCTTTTGGATTAACAGTAAAAACATATGTGAGGAAGGCTGAACTTGATCGACGCAAGTCTCTTTTCAGCTATGTAACTATGTAACTATAAATCTCCATCATCAGGAAAGTAGGCAGGTAGCAGCATTCTGCAAACCTTGGATAAAAAGAAAAAATATTCTAAAATTGTTTGACTGTTTACAATGAGACGACACTCGCTCCAGTGGTTATGGTACTTAGAGTATTTCGTTAAAGGGAAGCTCAAAGCCCTATAACCACTACAGCACACTTTAGTGATTACGTGCCAGGAATGCACTTGGACTCTAATTGGCATCGGTCACAATTGTTAAGGAAGCTCTTGCACAGAGCTTGCATTAGTTCCCTAAACAGCTAAGGTGATTAAACATTTTAGGAGGCCCTCTGAATTGTTGGGGCTGCCTGACAAGTGGATGTTTGATACTCCATTGGTTTTAAGCTGGAGAACAACAAAAAATCTATTCTATTATAAAATAATTTACTTTGTCCTAGTTTAAATATACTAGCATTTGTTTTATTGGTCATTTTATCTCATTTTAATTTTACAGGAATATTTTCATAAACATTTACATTATAATTAGTTTTATGAAGAAAGGAAGATGCAAATATTATTCTATTAAAATGTGCCTGTTCTGCGTAATCTGTACATATTTACATTAGCTATTTTAAAATACTACTAAGTTTGTTTCTAATATCCTTCTTTTTTTCCCCTCCACTAATTTTGTGACATTAGCCACTTAAACGCTCAATTCTAATTATTTTTTTTTCCAGGGAAAAACACTGACACTAATTTCATGTTCTTGTGGAAAGAATATAATGATAAACTGTCTACTTACTTCATTGAATGCAATGAAGATATGTCGATATGCTAAGATCATTATACAATATGTGATGATAATGAATTGGATAAGTATTCAGCTAAAAAAAAAGTCAGTTGTTTTGTAATTATTTTACACCCCTTAGTAAACATTGTATCAGGTTAAGTTACAGATTTTTTTTTTCCTTATTAACATTTTCATAAAATGGAGATTTTTAAAAAAATATTTATTTTTAAAAACTTAACTATTTATGCAGGTATTTATACTAAAATGTTTACAGAGGATTTGAGCTTTTATTTCGATTTCAACATTTATTTTTTTACGAATGTCAGTATAGAACGTGTCAGACGTCACAGAGCACTTTAGACCTTTTAAATGCAGCACTAGATCAGTAATCTTCAACAATAATTGCTGAAGACCTTGCACTTATAGTGACAGGGAAGCATAATTTCAAACACATTAGTGTTTTTCCAACATAGGACTACAGAAACATACCTCTTCCACCATATTCAGGTTTTAAAAATTGTTCCCAAACTTCAGGCTAACTTTCTAAAAATGTATAGAAAATTCCACTATAGAATCCTTCCTGAGACTTGAAATCTCTCAGTGTTTTTCTGTTCATTTGAATAAAAAATAAGTAAATAATTGCAAAATAAATTCCACTGCCTCATGTACTTCTAAGACAATCTTTCCCATCGTTAAAGAAACAAGACCAGAAATATAATTAGACAAGCAATGCAATTTAGATCTCAAGAGACCAAATGTTTATTATTTATATTTATTGAATTTGTGCATTGAGACTGTTTGTTTATTATTTATACTTAGGCAGCTCATTCACCGGAGCTTAAACTGACATGTTTTAGCTTAACAACCACTAAGTATAACAAAAATGAATAATTAAAATGAGAGCAGTTTATGACACTAATTTGCTGAAACATCTTTTAGGTAAGAAAATATCTGTACAGTTTCATAAAATATCATTAGGGGTATAATTGAATAAATATATATGGCTCTCAAGTATACGGCTAATTATTAGAATGCAGATATGGAAATAACCACCTGATTAGTATTTATTAAAAGTAAACTATAATAATAAACTAAGTGGTAAAAGCAAAGCACCAGTGTGTGTCAATCGACAAGCAATACTGTAAAAACAAAAAAAAATTGTAAATATAACACATTGCCAAAACATCAAAAAAAGTTATAATAATTGTGATGGTATTTCATTGAATGTAGTTACTATATGGAGCTATCTCTGTTTATGCCAGTATATTTATGAGCACGTTCAAAAGAATAAATAAAAGGGATTAAAAAATAGCTACTCTGCATAATACAGTAAGAGTTGGGGGAAAATATGTTGTGAAGTAACACGATCAAGCAACAAGTAATGCATCAAGTAAATTATGTAATCTTTATTGAAATAAAAAACAACAAACCATAATAAAGTGATATTTTTCAAAGACATCTCACATCATTTTGCTATGTCTGTTTCCGACACTCTCTTACGTCAAAAAATGTTTTAAATATATGATAGTCTATCTACACAGAGCAAAATAATCCAGAGAAACACGGGAGGGAACTGAAATATGATTTAAGGCAACAATTATGCTCAGATCAGTTGTCAGAATTATATAAAAACTCTTATAAATGCATAGCATGTTCTATGATAGTTGATTGTATAATATTGCCAAGCTCATAGAAATGACCATGCGACTACATTCTTTTGTTCGTAATGGACTTGAGAAAACAATCTTTCAAAATGGAAAATTAAGTCTTGCAGGAGACCTTTTTGATATGACTATGAAACTAGAAAGCATTTAACTAGTCATAACAATCTAAGAGGTTTTGACAATGTTAAAATAAATTACTCTATTGTTCATGTACTTTAGTAAGAGTGTATTTTTTTTTTTTTGAAGATATTGCATAATTTGCCACTAAATACAAATTAAATAAAGAATATATATTTAAATAATTAGAATGAAAAAAACATATCTGTCCAGGTAATGTCAGTTTCCCCAAAAATTCAATAATATACAGTGCGGGGGAAAAGTTTTTGATCCCTGGCTAATTTTGAATATTTGCCCACTGACAAAGAAATGATCAGTCTATAATGTTAACGGTAGGTGTATTTTAACAGTGAGAGACAAAATAACAAAAAAAAAAAAAAACGCATGGCAAAAAAGTTATTAATTGATTTGCATGTCAATGAGTGAAATAAGTATTTGATCCCTTATCAATCAGCAATATTTCTGGCTCCCAGGTATCTTTTATACAGATAACGAGCTGAGATTAGGAGCACTCTCTTACAGGGAGTGCTCCTAATCTCAGCTCATTACCTGTATAAAAGACACCT